TTAGCTTGACTTTGACTTAAAAATGTGATGGGCTCCTCTATTTAAAATTTGAAAAACTTGAGAATGTATCTATGAGGGGTTTGTGTATTTAGACGCTCACCTGGAAGGGTTTCTCCCCCGTGTGAACAAGTTGGTGACGTTTGAGTTTGGAGCTCTCGACGAAGGCCTTGCCGCACTCTGCGCAGACGTGCACGCGTGGCCCGTGGGTGTGGAGATGTTTCCTCATGGCCGAGTTATCCCTGAACATCTTTGTGCAGCCCTGCAGAGAAAAGAGAGTGCAAAAAGTACAGACAAGGAAATTATTTAAGGTTCTTTATAGCACATGTAAACTCTTTTAGTTTCTTTTCAAAAATCAAATGTCCGCAGCTTTTTGTGTAGGTTAAAATCCTGAAAAGAAGTGGAGCTGCATCTATTCTCCCCTGATCCTGTAATGTATTGTTAACAGCTTCCGACTGCTCATACAGGAAATAAACCTTCGCATTAGCTAAACATGTAGAGTCCAGATAAGGCTTGATTGTTCTTGTAAGTACATGGAAATCAATACACCGAGTGCTTTCTTTACTCTTAAATAACCTTTACAGAAATGTTCAATTACCGAGAAAACAACAGTGCAAGACTATTAAACATTTCAGGAACTGTAAACTCTATTTTAGCAAACAGTGACAGGGTTTATCTGGGGACGACGGCGTGAGGCTTACTTTGTGAGGGCAAGCTATCGTCCGAGGAGCGTCGTCCTCTTTGACTTTCCTGGGTTTCATCCTGATTAAGGAAAAAAAGGACATGGTTAGGGGTTTTAAACAAACAGACACATTTCGCAAAGCCATGCCTGTTCCACATGTTATCTGACAGTCCACTTACAATGTTAATTTGTTTTAGTTAATCAATAACCAGAATCAGTAAGGGGATGGAAACATCCTGATATGACATTTCACCTCCAGGTGGAACATGTTGACAGAAAAGTGAAGCACTATCGGAACTATTATGTGACAGTCTGTAGAATACTTCCTTTTAATCTACTTCAGTACACCTTCCTTAATATACACAGAGCGTGTTTTTTTGTGTGCATATCATTGTTTGTTTTTTTAAAGTATTTGATTGTTTATATATATTTATATTTATTATTACTTGTAAAGCGACCTTGGGTCTCTTGAAAGGCGCTATATAAATCGAAGCTATTATTATTATTGTTTTCTGAACATTTATTTTAGCATTATTTAGGATTGTACATTTCCTTTGATTATCTTTGTAATATTAAATCTATTGCACACTTGTCTATGCATCACAGCCCAAAAGTAATGCAACCTGCAACAAAATACAGTTTGAACATGTGTCAAAAATGTCTAAATCTGTCTAAAAGATACAAAATTGGTTAGAAGAACCAAGAATGAACAACAGACTAAGAATAAAGTGAATATTTGATGAATGTGTTGAGGGTTAGAACCATGTTTATCTCACTCTTCCTTTCACTGTGATATTATTTGTGTGCATATGAACCGCAGTTTCCATAATTGGAGTTTTCTCAGTTAACAAGTGTGTGGGAACAAGGTGCTCTGCCACACTCACCTGGCGAACTCTGCCAGCTGTTTGGGGTCTGAGAGGTCGATCCCCGGGATACCACCAGGGGGCAGCTTCTTCCCCGTCATGTACTCCGAGTAGTCTGGAGGGGAGTTCTCCCCCACTATCTGCTCCTCCACCACCGACTCATGGTCAATGTCTTTAGTGTCATCTAGGAAAACATTACAGAGACTGAACCGATAACGCATTGCTGTTTCCCTAGCAACAAGCCTGAAGGATGGAAAACACATCTGCTGGTCCTGAACTCATACCAGGAAAATATCACCATGTTACATAATTACATTTCATATATGAAAATGACATGTTTCCATATATCATTTACCATACTGCTCACCAGTCTGCAGGTTTGTACTCACTGAATTTCTGTATTGCTTTAATTATAATGTAAACATGTTGACCATGTGACAAAACTAAATGACCAACTTGAAGGGTAAACATAAAAATGTATAAATACTCTTACCAATCAAATAAAAATGCCACTACATTTTACATTTAAGGAAAGGAAAATAACCAAAAGGTCAATATGAATTCTGGCTTGGATATGTGTTCTATTATATACACAACCGTCATGTATAATAACAAAACATATCTTTAATAATGTTAAATAAATGTGTAGGTAAATTATTTTATCCTACTTTAACAACCAGTAGAGTGCACTAAATAACTCTATACAGCTGCTGAGTTCTCTCAAAACTAAATAGGCAAACTTAATATCAGTGATCAAATGTAAAAATGTATTTCCACTTAACTGTAAAATAAAATGCATCGTAAATATCTGGACTATTAATAGTATTAGTCAGAGCCGTTGGTGGGCAAACACCTGAGCAGGGTTGTATTGCACGCAGTACCATAGCTCTGCACAGAGGCAGTAGTTAGCCCCATGCAAATGCTAAGCTGTCTGGTGAGCTACCACCAACAGCAACCCGAGCTAACAGCTAAACGACTTACTGCCTGAACAGTACCTGGCTCACAATTTCACGCACATTACACTTTTGCCCTTTTTACATAATCCCCAGGAGCTTCTGCAGCTGCATTAGAGTAGCACGTGTCCCAGTTTTGGCGGTCTACAGAGATCCTAAAAACGCAGCTGTCTCCATCTCCCCCTAGCACCGCCGCCATCTCTGCCTGGCCGCGACTATCGCCATTTTTTGGGGCCGCCGCCATACTTACTAGTCTAGGGGAATATGGCGGCGCCCAGCAACACTTAAAACATGGCCTCCCTTCAAAACAAAAACATTTCAATATGACATAGCAGTGTTTTGCATCGAAAACTTGCATTATTTGTCGCTTTTTACGCTGGTGCGACGTACCACTCCAGGAATTAGTCTGGTGCAGCAGGACAACGCCCTGGCAATGAGGCCTCATGCAAAGCTAACAACAGTGACAGACACGGCTAACGTTTACTTACCCGAAGCCCACATTGTAACAGAGAACTCCCCCTCTAGTGTCTTTATTTGCACCTGCTTCTGTTCCCATTTTCTTCCACCAGACTCCGATCCGCTTAAATAGCTCTTTTTGCCCGCTTTCTTGCCCCCATTGCCGCCTCCCCGTTTCATCCGACCCACTGAGCTTTTCCCGGCTACAGTCACCAGAGTCTGTTCGATGTACTCGTCCTCCACCCCGGGAGCAGGTACCGGGATGAGGATCTGGTCCTCGAACCCGCTCCCGCCGTCCGTGTGCATGTCCGAGTCATCCCCACCGACCACCTCCTCCCGGGTCTGGACCAGGATCACCTCCTGATGGTGGTGATGGTGATGGTGGTGGTGGTGGATCGAGTTGTGGTCGTCCGAAACTAGCGGCTGGAGCGCGATCATGGGCTGCCCATCGTCGTCGTCGTCGTCTTCTTCGTCTTCTTCGTCTTCATCATCCTCGTCGTCCTCCCCGCCGACCACCGTGGTCTCGATAGTCTCCACCGGTATCGTTTCCACCTCTATCTCGTGGAGCTCCACGATCTCGGCCGGCATCTCCGAGCCGTCTGTCTCAATGTACAGAGTATCTCCGGATGCCATGTTGTAGTCCGCCAGCTTGCCTCTTTCATTCACGCCGTGTTGTGCTCCTTTTTTTGACCTCCTAAAAACACTCACACACCCCCTTGCTCTGCTCCTGCCTTGCTCTGTTCTCCCTCTTCTTCGATAACAACTCTCTCCACTCCGTCCCACGCCACTTCTCGTTACCACTATGCTCTCCAATTCGAAACCTCGCGAGGTTTAGGGAAACCCAGCGATAACTTGATGACAGTGCTGCCAAACTTTGTTTACAGGTTTCCTCATATTTGACCTTTATATATACAGTCTATGTATACTATTTGACACAAAAATACTTATATACATATCTTTCTGGATAAATATGAATTAAAATGTAAATTACTTATTAATAATTATATTTTAATATAATGGAGTGGACATAATTTGTGGTATTTAAAAAAAATAAAGATATAACTAATAAACTACACGTCTGTTCAATTCCTAATTGTTTTTATAAAATACCCCAAAAAGTTCATCCCAAGTGGCAATATCATTCAAATTATATATTAAAAATTGCTCATTCAACTTGAATGTGATTCAATTGGAAAGGAAGCTTTACACAAATCAATATGTTCATTAGCGTTACTATTGATCACTGTTGTTATTGTTATTAACGGTCGACTAAACCTTTTTTAAGATTTCTTTTTATAGTCAAACACAAGTGGAAAACAGGATTGGAGTTCATTGAGATTTTATATTTGTATTATCCGTTCTGTGACCTCAACCATTCAGAATAGAGATCAATGGTCATCCGATTATGGCAATTAGATCTACATTATGATGAGAAACAAACACCTGCTGTGACATCTTTTATCATGTTGTGGCCACACATGTTGGATAGAAAGCAAAGTTCCAGTATTTAATGCCATCCTTACACGTTGAAAGATATTAATATTTGAGTAAAACTATAATGGATATCAAAAAGTATCTTCTCTCTCAAATCTAAAAGTCATTTCTGGGGTTTATGTGGTTTAATGCAGTTTCTTTAAAGCTTGTTTTTACTGACAGTGTAGTCTAGAATGTTTTATTCAACCCTATTAAATATTGTATGACCATGGAATGCTATGGAAATAATTACCTAGCCTGCTATTTAAAAATAGTTTCAGGAAAGGCATGTATTCATACATGTATTCCTCAACGAGTTGTATCCAGGTTATAAAAGCAATACAGTATAGTCTAGTGCTTAAAGAGTATGCGGTTTTATTTAAATGATATGTTTACACCAACACACTTCACTCCTAAGGTTCAATCTATGAATTGGTCTTATAAATAGTTCAATTTTGTAACAAATAGTTTCATGGATTTATTAGTAAATAGACAAATATCCACATCAATACATAAACATACATGACATTAATTAATTATCTGGGTTTATCCTTTAAAACTATTTATAAAATGCTTTTGCAGGACACTATAACAGTATCCTACTTTATGTATTTATATCCTGCAACACTTGAACAACACAATATGGTTGGACAGTAACACCTCCGATTTTTCACACTGCTCTATTCTGCACCGGCTGTAATTTATGGCACCTTTTCATAAGCACGTTTCTGTGTTGGGGGGAAAAAAAAGTGTGAGACTAAATCACCAGACCGGCACAAAAATAGCACCCAAACAAATTCAAAAGGAAAGAGACGACCTCATTTATCCAAGACATTGTTCACAGTTTTTATTTGAATTCATTTTAAACTTAGTGCGTTTCTTTTTTTTTGCGTTGTCAAACCAGGAAGCACTTTGTCATAAAAAGAGAGAATAAAATGAACAATACTTCACCATATCCTTGCAGCCAATAAACATTTTATTAACAACATGATCACAAATACTCTGGTGTATTATTTCTTAATTTTTTTTTTGTTTATAAGATTGCAATATCCAAAGAAGTTTTTTTCAGCCTCCATTTCAGGTTAAAGCCTGTTTTTTTCTGCCGTGGTTCCACACTTAGCTGTGTTGGTGAAAAGGATAGCAAAACGTTTTAAAATTCCGGGTTAGATGAATATAATTATTTTTAGATGTGGTTTGAACAAAAACAAATAAACAAAATGAAAACAAACAATATAAAATACAAAAGGCTGACATAAAATGATGTGCAATTATAATTATCAACATTATCATTACTATCAAATTCTCATGATCATTTCCTCATTATTACCATTGTACTCACTACTCTACTACTATTCATATTAACATTACATTGACAATCATAAAAATGATAGTAATAATAATGAAAATGATAGTAATAATATATATATTTTAAAGTTTAATACAAACTTGTGAAAAAAAACAAAAAAACTAAATCATATCAATTTGATCAATTTTCTTTCCGGCAGAGGACAGAGGGGGCGAACTGGGATAACAAACAGACAGATGTGAGAAAATCAGAGGAATCAGTGCGCGAGTGTGCCCCATTTCGTCCAAATCAACAAACAAAATGTAACACAAACATGTGTGAGGTGTCGAACAGGATGAGAAGATGTCACAGTTTGGGCCTCCTTCTTCTCCTCCTTCTCAGGGCCACAGCAGCAGCTGCAGGGGCGAGGTTCAAAAAGGGGGTTTCATGTCTGGGGGGGGGGGCTCTGAAAGATTATGTCGTGCTAATTCGACTGAGTTCATTTCTAATGGCTGTAGGAAAAGGAGAGAAAAGATAGGATCGTTAGGTAGATAATGACCCTCTAACAAACCCCATTACACAATCGTGTCTTCATTGTTCTTAATGGGACCTGAAGTGACAAGTTAAAGCGCTCCACCAATTTACATACTGTATAGGCTGTATAGGTTTCAGTTCACTCATCGCGGGCAGTACTACACATCCTCTGAAAACTGTTTTTTGGTTTTTAGTTTTTATTCAAAACAATCTGATGCACAACAGGGCTTTCAGATATTTATAAGTTATAGTATCAGGTGCATACAAAAAGACAGAAATAAACAAATCAAAGTAAATGATTGTCAATCAGATTTTTCTATTACACAGAAAATGTCTTCCTAGTTCCCAAAAACCCTGATATGTCATCGTCATTGTTACTTGAAATCTGGGTTGAGTTTGAAAGGCTTTGAAATATGCTGTCAAATTGCATTATGGTACATGTACTGTAGGATCCAGTTTTTTAAGCTTGATCCACAAAAGAGAGAGAAAAATCGTGATATCTCGACATTGCCAATTATTCCCAGACTCCAACTCATGTTATGGAGTGCTAGTATCGTATGCCTATTCTTTTTAGTAAATGTGTTACTGTCTCTATAGTTTAACATTCAAGGATTCAAAACCAAATTATTAAGTTATTTAGGCCTCCATGAACAAATTCTAAGATACACAATTTACCCGCTCATTTAGCAGTGAATCATATTATATTTGGACCATTAATTTGGTCACAATGTGATTAACATACTTGTGATGTGAGAATCAAGTTATCATACTCTAACTCACTTTGTAATAACCCAATGTACTCACATCTTTCTTATCCGCTTGAGTATATCAATTATCCATTTATCAAAAATATTTTGTAGGCTTTGATCTATGAGGTTTCCATTTGATTTCTGGAACCATAGTGCAACCTAGTGGTCGCAACTCCAAATGACTTCCCATTTCCCATCATCCCACTGGTTAGATTTCCAATTACATATTCATTAACATGACTAAGGAGAGAGACAGTGCTCCTAAATGTTGATTGATAACCCTTCTCCAGGAGAAAATTAAACATACCATCGATGATTTCCTCCTTCACTTTGTGCAATTCACGAAACACGTCATCCAAGATTTCCTAATGAAACACAAACACTTTGATAAATAAACGTTCATAGTCCATGACATCTTTCTTGTAAGTAGACATCATTTTTTATGGACAATGTAGCCGGACTAAGAGTAGGTCTCCAGTTATTAAAGTGTGTTTTACAGTTTACCTGTTTCATTCTATCCATGTCTATCGAGTCTGCGTCGCTGCCACCCCCCCCGGGTCGTACCCTGCATGATCAAATAAAATCATTCTCCATCAGATTAGCTGCTGATGACCCGTTTCACATTCATATTCAATGAGCTGTGCTGCTCCCTGTCCTCACCTGGAAACCATCGACCTGTCTGCAGAGTTAGCTCTGTCCCACGGCTTCTTTGCACCATCTGTAAGACAGGAACAGTGTTAGACAGAAAACCAGCAGGGATTAAGGGACATTTCCACACAATAGATATGATGTTTTATTCTCTAGCCAGTGAGGGAAATTATAATCACCTCATACAGAAGATACAAAATAGAATAGAGACAGAAAATCATCTCTTAATTGTACAGTCATCAGATTTATACCCATTGTAAATATCATACACTCTTGTAATGAAGTTGACTGTGGTTTGTTGATCATATTTGTTGCATTCGGGATAAATAGAACAACCCTTGTAGATAATTTATTTGGCAGAAGTATTATAAAGCCCCGCCCTGAGGAGAGCAAATACAACTCAAACGGTGGAGGGCATGTGGTTTGTCTTTTATAATTGACTGGGATTTCCTGTGTAAAATAGAGGTCATGTCATGGCTTTTGTTGGGCGGCTTACAATATTCCCGGCTGGTTTAACAATCCTGGTTAAGCTTGTATTTATTTACTTTAGTCAAGTACCCATACCAGACAGAGATATTAAAAACAAGGATGCTCTCTATCTCTCACAAACGTCCAGACTGACCCCAAACCGAAAGTAGGTTCAAGCTTTCTTACATTTAAAATAAACATTTTCTGTGACACAAATTCTATGTGTGCTCTCAGATACATGAGTTTTAAGGAACCTTTGATTGTGTAAAAATAAATGATAACGACTTATCTCTAATGACAACCCCCTTAGATCATTCATACGTTCTGTACACAGACATACAGTATGGTGATATATAGATATACATGCAGATCAGTCCAATTGACTGTAAAACACATACAGGCCTCTTTCGTCCTTCATCAATACAGATAAATACAGATCAACTTTTCAATAATAAGTTTATCTGTATCTGCCGTATGATTATTTATCAATATTTTCTCCTGATACTATAAGAGATGTTCAAATCATTACATATGCACACTGTTACTGGGCTCACCTGTGGAGTTCTGTCCACCCCTGGTGTTGGGTGACGAAGAATTTCCGTCATCCTACAGGAAGACACAAGCTAGTTTAATGGACATGGCGACCTCCATCATACTCATCACATACACTGTCATCTATTAATAGCAGTAAATGTTAAGGTTTTCTTTTGTCATATTTTCTTTTTTGCAGTAATCGTATTGACTGTGATTTTATTAGCCTCACTGTTTTCATCAAAAAGCATGTAATGAAAATGTCACATGCTTATCTGATCTATGTTTATCACAACAACCGGCTTTATGAATTGCAAAAAATGACTGTTTTCCATTCACTCACATTTTGGCTGTCCTCGGGCCGCTCGGAGGCCGCTTTCCTTCTGGGGGAAAGAAGAAGCCTCGAGTGAGAACTGGGCATTTCTTCCCATATCTAATGTGAGTGTAATTATAACAATCACTAAAACATCCTGAACCACACAATGATTAAATGATGATGACAAATATCACTATTTTGGCTTCGGGATGTCATGCAAAATGGTTTTCTGAACTCATTGCTCTGACCTTCGCGCCAACAGAGCATTCATCTCCTCCATCAGTCCTCCGCTTCCTCCGCTCCCTCCACTTCCTCCACTTCCTCCGCTTCCTCCGCTTCCTCCGCTTCCTCCGCTTGTTCGGTTGGCATCGTTTTTGCCGGCTGGGGAGCTTTCGTCTTGGGGCTAAGGGGGAGAGGAGTCCAAAAGTTATACTCTCTGATGTGTACAAAACGTTTATGTCAGTCAGGTTTGTTGGAGATAATCTAGTTATATCTGCATGACTGGAAGATAAAGACATCAGAGTGTCGTCTCACTCTTTGAACGCGGCGCAGTTTGGCTCCGGCGATCATAGCTGCGAGACCTGTCTGGGCGGGGGGCTCATCCGCGTCGCTCCCACCGCACATGGGTAGTGGAGGTGGGAGAGGAGGTGCTGGGGCCCCTGCTGAAGGTGGTGGAGGTCCTGGTGGAGGTGGAGGGGGAGGAGGGCCACCCATGTTCATGGGGGGAGGCATTACTGGAGGGGCCACGGCGAGAACAGCAGGGTGGCCTTGGAAAGGAGAACCTGAAGGCAAGATTTAAATGTGAGTATTTGAGTTTAAATGCACTTGATAATGAAAATGTATTTAAAATGATAAAAAGATTTTTACTTCGGTCAACATGTGAAACTTTAAAAAGTACATATTATGCCTATTGTCAACTGCTTAGAGATGTCCCGCCCCTTAGCCTAACACTTACAACGTGTTGGAGCGCTAGCCAATAGAAGCGTGTTACATAGTGATGTCATTATGTTAGGGAAGTAAACAAAGGAATCCTATTGAGGCAGGGAGTGTGTTGGAGAGGAACTCACTCTGTAGGACACTTTGGGATTTTAGCCTTTGGAGAACATTTACATGCAAATAAATCCATATAACACACTACAGGAAAGGGAACACCCCCCAAAAGCACAACAGGGCCCCTTTAATGTGTGAGTACCTGAGTTGGACGTCCTTCGCTCCCGTTCCAAATGTGCCTGCAATTGCTGCTGCTGCTCTATCATCTGCCTAAAGGGACACAAAGGAAACAAGGCCGGTCACACGAATGTCAGGTCTCATCTGTCATTTTGTCATTTTATTATCCTATAAGAACAGTGCAGCCAACCATCTCAAAGCCACAGCTATAGAAAAGTGCTTCTGCCTGGAAGCTGCATGGGTAACCTCAAACCTTGGCAGGTCCAAATAAAAGTGACAAGTGAGTGTCATTACGGCAGGGTATATTGTGCAACAGCTGAAACAAGCCAGCACTAAATATAGTAAAGTTTGACAAATGCCATACAGCTGTTTTCTTCTTTTTACTTTTTACAAATAGAGGAAAAATAACTCCAAACACATAAATCAAACACTTTTATTGCAGTGCACAAAGGCTCTACTTTTACTTTCTCAAACGTATTCTGAGTTGAAATGGCAGCCACATGCATTTACAGTTATGCTTGTCTCATATTCACTGTCCTTTTAGCTTGGTTTCCGACTCCAACCTGAGATAAATATCTGGCTCATTGCTCACCAGCTAGTCGCTAACTTTAGCTGTCTGTTGTTTGCTGCTGGGCAGGTAGCTTACAGTGTTTTTTCAAGAGCTTCTTTGGCTGAACCAGCTGCTGAAAATGAGGTGAATTAAAGTAGAGAGACCAAACTGAAACATTAAAGGTTCAGGTGTTAAACCAAAACAAAGACAGATGTTCAAATGCAGACTGCAGAGTCATGAAATAATTCTCTGTGGGTTTGTCACTACAAGCAAGTCCCTTCACGTAAACCTCTACATTTATTCCATATAAAAATAGTGATGAGTGCAGAATTTAGAATCTTAAAATCAGGCTGCAGGAAACATTGGTTTACCTAGCTTGATTGGGATGCTTTTCTTTCTTCTTCAAATTCCACTGTTAACAAAGTTACATTTAATAACAGATATGGATACTCAACAATGCTTATGACCTCAGCACACAGGAATTATTTGACATGAGAAAAAAAGGGTAATTCTTTGGAACGTCAATATCTTGAAGCTGCTGCATTTTAAGAGCGACTTTTTTTTTTCCATGACTCAACTATTTTGTGAAAATATTCCTCTGAAATGTAGCAGATGGGAGGACTTACACTGTCCTCAAGCTGACAGCAGCTTTGAATTGTGTAGCTTAGACTAAACATGACTTCAAGTCACCCACCTGTCTACACAGTTTAAATAACGTCTTGGCATTGCTGCACATTTTCCACTTCAGCATAAAGTACATTTATCACCCTCTCCTTCATCTCCGTCCATCCCTCCACCTTACAACCCCCCCCTCTAAACACACACCAAACCCTCCCCATCGTTACATTACATGTGTCTCTTTGATGTGAGAAGCATATGTATGTCACTTGTCAGGAGAGAGAGGGAAAAGAGAAAGCTCATGGACAGGAAGTGGAATTTTCCAGCTGTGTGTCGAGAGGAGAAGTGCTGAGCCAGCAACCTCTACAACTTGACAGCAGCGCACGCAGGGCCAGGGGGAGCAGCAGGGCAGCTGAGCTATGCTGCCACTGGAGAGAGCTCAGTCAAATTAATTTACACACACACCCATGCATACGCACAAACCCGAAACCCACACGCACAAGCACACAATCTCCCCACACAATCACAGACGTAATCCTTTGTGCCCAGAGGTTCAGTTTAGCAGACGCGGGATCAGAGAGAGCCGTAACTCCCATCATATTTGTTCTCTTAATCCCCGGCATTTGGCATTTGGATGAACCAATAGGCAGAGTTGAACAGGTTTAAAACAGCAACAAAGACCTAGTTGTGACTGAGTCTGTCTCTGAGGAGAATTGTAGTCACAGTAGAATAAATGCAGACTGCTTAGGAAACCATGGAAATACAACTCATCCATTATCTCTGGACAATTCAATTCACAAAAATAAATTATTTTGATTTAGTCTCTTTTCTTTTTCAAGCGCACTGTCTTTATTGGACTGTTACCCATAGGATTTAGTGATGTGAGCCAGCCGGAGGATAATAGAGAGGGAGGAGAGAGAATATGAATAAAGATCATTAAGAACAGCTGTCTGTGTATCTCTGTTCATAGAGTGTATATGCTCATTCTGTGTGAAAGGTATCAGACACATGGGCTGCACTCACTAACATAATCCTATCCACTGTACTCGAGGTCACCTAAAGTTCATTTCTGTTTTGGGGATAATTCCCCAAAATGCTCTGAACAAGCCATCCTAACTGCAGTGGTTCACAAGAAGACCATCTGGTTAATATTTCAGAAGCAGCGAGTGAATGTCTCATCACTGATGGGAAGCTCTAAATATAGCAAAGAATATTTTATCTTTCTCAAAGATCCAGTCTTTTTGAGTGTCACTGTGATCTTGTGCTCTCATTAGTGTCATATTAAAACACACTTTTCTACCAGTTAGATACTTTTGGGTTATGGGAAATGTTGGTATTTGTGTATTAGTCTGGGTTCTTTCCAATGCTCTGAAATGGGGAAAAAAGGTGGGGTTTTGTAGTTCCGTCCAATCTGAATTGAGTAGAATTTGAAGCAAAAGCGTATTGAATAATCACTACCAACTCCTTCCTGCAAATGTTGACATTGAAGATCATCGTTGCTTATTTAGTTAATATTTAAATACGCTATAATTGTACTTTTACTTTAACGATGTATCCAAAGACTATGTGAATGTCAAAGCCATCGCAAGAAGTCAAATATCCACAAATAAATGTAACCAGGCTGCAGTTCCTGTTAGCTATACGTCTTCGCTTCTTTCAGCATTTGTTTCAGATTTACAGCTTACAACTTTTCAGTTTAGGTCAATCTTACGGGTTTCATACCATCATTTTCATCTAAAATACGGGTTATTCCAGTTCCAGAAAAGCTTATAAAACCCAAGGTACCTTACCTGTCCATCACCAAACAGCGCACCAGTAAAGTTATCAACTAGCTAATTAATATGACAGATATTTCCTTCAGGAGTTGGTGGAAACCAAAACAGAGCTCAAAGGAGAGTGAATATTGGACCTACATTCATCAGGTGAAGCCATTTTCAGGGGCTCTTAATATTGTTGAACAATTTCCCTGTTAGGCTCAGTTAGGAAATGTTACCTTGCTCTCTGAGCTTCCATCTCATCTGAAGTGGGTCCATTCTGGACTTGGCGCTGGACAGCTGGACCTAAAGAGACACATGAAAGCAGGGAGAGAGAAGGACAAAACACACAGATTAAGTGAAATTGACCTTAATAATCCATTACAAGTATTGTTATGCTAATTGGAATTAGGGTCAGTCAAGACAATTAACTACCAAATGACAGGCAATTAAACAGCAGTTAATCATTGTGTCCTTTTTCTTAGGTAATGCTTAATGTGCTGTGAAAAGCAGATTAATCCCTCACTCTAGGTAAATGAACATTAATTATTTCATCCACTTGCATAGTAATATAAAGTATGTGTGCTCATTAGTGAGAGCTGCTCATGTGATTACTCCTGTTACCCACAATGCTCTATTATGGATATTTGACCAACACATAATGGAAACATGATGCTTCCCTTTATTCGTGTGTGTGCACAAACACACGCAAGGAGTTAGCCAGAGACCCATGAATACTATTCTGTGATGAAATGCAACTTTCTGATGGGTTAAGTGTTATGAAAAGTAAAAACAGAGTAAGGTCTGGAGTTTATTTGAGCAGCTTTCTCCAAGCAGGCGGCCCTAAACTGAAAACAGGCGAAATTCTGTCGTCTGCGGTTGCCGAGATATTTCACAACATGCTGCAGCTTCTGAAACATCTGCTTTTGTGGTCAAAGTTCACATACTAGAGGGATCAAATTCAAAACATTTTTCTACCCTTTAGATTTATTTTTATAATACTGTAAAAAGCTCTTTGTGTTACAAGACTTTAAGTCAGTTTACTGATGTAAGGAATGACAATAGAGTTGCAATATCAAAGAATGGTGACTCCCTCTAGTACCCCCCCCCCCCTGCTTATGATCTGATTTGAGCTACAAGGCACTGGGATGTAATCTGTTTAACACCGTAAGTGTGATCTGCAGATGGAGCGCCAGATAGGGAATGTAATTAATTGAAGACATGATAAAATGAGGACAAAAGGACGTCAACTCAGGGATTACAATCACATCAGAGTCATCCGTTTTCAATGAAACTTTTCTCATCGCTGAACTCATCCGGGACAATAATACATCTTTATTGTTCCTCCTGAGAACCACTTCAGAAGAGAGGTTCAGGATTTAAGCTCACATTTTTCTTTTTTAATCTATTGGAACAGAAGAGCAACTTTGCAGTGTAAAGACCTTTTTATTGTTGAATTATGATTCCTTTGCTATAAAACACTAATGGAAACCTGACGTGGCACAAAACAAACACTAGTGTCCTCCATTTAGGTGGCTTCCAAACACCCTGACCTCTTCTCTCTAATGAGTGGTCCTTTTCATGACAGTTTTACAGCTGTACACAGTCAGGCTCTATAAAGTCAATACTAACTGACGACACTCTCTCATCTCTACCGACATTGATCAGGTATCAGAAACCCCAAAATAACACGGATAACAAAAGACCTGACTCACGCCTACTATCAGATACCTCATCACACACACATGCACGCCAAAAAAATACAACTCTCTCAAACACATGTAGGGCTGCAAATATGACTAAATATGATCTGTTCATTCTATAGAATAATTAGTGACTTGTTTTTTTCATATCTAGCATTACATTTCCTGAATGTTAAAAGAGATGTTATCATTTATGGAAGTTCACTTTTTTGTGTGATCTATACACATAGGACAATAGGACAATGATATGTCGTGTTGGGGTATGCTCTGCAGCTAACAGTGACAAGGCAGCATGTCACTGCAATAGACCGCCACATAACTCCAAAATCCACATATTGCATTTTTTTTGCAGTTTGGCTATTTGTGAGGTGCTGTTAGAGCCAGGTTAGCTGCTTCTGGACTTTGTGCTAAGCTAAGCCATGCTAACTGTCTCCTTGCTGCAGCTTCATATTCATGACAGACTTGAGGGTTGTACTAAACTCTTTTATCTGTTGCAATTGAAATGACCGTTATGCTTGACACATCTCTTAAATATTAACTGATTTTCAAAATTCCTGTGTATCAATTAACTGACTTATTGCCTATCAGGACTAATATAAATACAAATAGTACACAGCCAACACAAACTATCAATTCCACACAGGCATTGCTCTAGTCTAATCAACGTTTTTTTACAGGTTAAATGTTGTTGTCACTTAATAGATATCAGAAACTCAAGAGTGACCCAGTGGAAGATGATCATTTAAGAGAGAACTTAATTATGTAGGAACCAGTTTTTTTTATTTTTGAGTAATATCTGAACTCTCAGCCGTTTAAAAGGAAACCATTAGAGAAGTAATGTTCCTTCACTCTGTTCCTTAACTTTAGAAATAAATACAAAAGGTATCCTAAACGTTTTTTAATAAGGTACTGTGACTTTGGCCTTCACTATGAAATTATAATACTGGGCACACAGCTGTAGCAATAGACACCACGACACACACACACAAACTTGAAATGATAATTGCCATGCAGAAGTCCAACACACACAGAGCGTTAGTACCTACATGACATGCTGAAGAAGAGGAAGCGGCTGTAGCAGACACAGAGGCACTGACAGACCCACTCCCCGCTCACCATCGCTCAACTTCAGCTGCCCTTCCTCCCCCTCCATCACCTCCCTCTCTACCTCTCTCTCCTCACCTGCCTGCCTCTCCCCATCTCCTCCCCTCCCCCACCCAGCCTCAGTATCATCTGTCATCTTCTGGTAACCCACACCTCCGGGCGGCAGCAGTGCAGCGAGCATCTCTGGCTAATGTTTCCAAAGGTTGGGTTTGTCTGTAGGCCGCTACAGCCTAATGCCACTCACACAGAAATAATGTCACAGCGAGCTGATCCACATGCATCCCCGCTGAGAGAATGAGCCTCTTACATGTAGATTGTCCAACTAGCTATCCGATTAAAATGTGACACTAAAATAGATTATGAGTTGTACATGATGCGGAGGAGCTACATGGAAATCGTTTTTTTTCACTTAGTCAATGGATCATTTACTCTATCAAGAAATACAAGTATATTCTCATCGAAATGGCTAAAACACATATTTATTTGGCTATTCAACCTCATCAACAGCAAGACATCTCTTAATTGTTAACCCTTGAAGCTGTTACTAACACCTTTGTGTGTATTTACTCGACTGATGACTTAAACAGTCATCAAACTGGATCTTTTTTCCCCTTTATCTCTTGATATTCAAACGTTAATCAAGTCTTTTTTGTCAGCACTGGAGCAGCATTTGTCATGGGTCCCTGATGAATATCAAGTGACAGGAAGTCTCTACTGACCAACCCAGTATGAAAGTTGGTAAGGAAATGATATCAAACAAGGACATTTTGTCTGTTTACCGCAGATTATTTCTGCCACAATCATCCGTGTTTATTCTAGGGGTCAGGTTTTGACCTTTTTACCACTAGAGGGGGCAGACACGCTTCTTAAAATGGAGGGGAAACCAACATTATCCCTAATCTATGCGCTACAAGAGCTCAGTGAAAACGTCTTATGCAATGGAAACAGATCTTCTGCCATGTGTTTTCTGCAGTGTGTGTGTGTGTGATAGTGCTGCTCCGCCTGTACACACAGTATCTATTTATGCAGCTGGAGTCACTGCTGCATAGTAGGGCTATCATTCTCTCTTTCTGTCGAGTGTGTGTATCCTCCTCTCGTGTATTTGTGTACTCGTGTTTGGCCGCCGTCACTCGAGCCTCTTTGTTCCTCGTCCCGTGTTATTAGGCAGATGAAAAGATGTGCTCTCTAGCACGGGACCCAGGGGAGGTCTTCTCAATGACTCATTCTAATTAAGAGGCTGGAGGGGACTGCAGGGGGAGACACACTGCTGCTCACTCCAGTAATGACTGGCATGCTGTGACACTCACTCTGTCTCTCAGTCTCTCATTCTATCATTGCCCATTTTAAATCTGTCTTGCTTTTTCCCTTCAAACACTCTTGCACACACACACAGCTACAAATAATAAAATAGGCTCTATAACATGTGTTTCCACCGCTCTCTTTAAATACACTCCATTTTTGACTTGTAGCAGGAAAAACAGGTGGAATTAATAACATTAACAACCCTCGTTACTGGTGTGTTTCAGGAAGTGATATCAGGGAGCCAGCACAATCACAATGCCATTGATAATCTTATTTTTTCTCTTTTATTTTTTACAATTAGATGTCAAAATGTTTTCTGTGAAATAGGTAGATAGTACAGTAAATACTAGATATAGATGATATTCCTGTATTAACAATTATTTGGTGAGGCTCCTGTGACTTCTTTTAAAAAGTGCCCAGTAGAGGGGACTAGCTCTCACAACGACTACTACTGCCACTACTACTACATTATGGCCACTGCTCTGATGCTAAGTTACTCCTTAGGGCAAATATTTCACAGTCTGAGTCACACAGAAAACATCTATGATTTTTGAGGAAAGGGAAATGTAGTTCACATTTGTAGTTTTTGTTGGATTTTTTTTTAAATGTATTATCCTGCATTAATATTGTTTGGGCATTTTTTATCTTAGCATTGTGTTGTGATATCAGAAAGACAGGTTAACAACAACCTTAGAAAATCAATAGGTAATATTGTCCAAGCTGGGCTAATGTGTGCATTACATAGCCCCTCTAAACATTAGCATGCCACACACACTAACAGTAGTGTATCTGTATTTGATTGATGAAGTAGTACAAGCTTAGTTACTTTATGTTATTACTCTAATATGATTAGAAAAATATACATATTTAGAAATATATTTGGCAACGTGAAAAATGATGCTATGCATGGAAGGGAACTGTTAGCTACAATGTAAAGCAAATTGTATGATAGTAGCAGGAGTCCACCAATGGCTTCCTGCTGCAATTAATAAAAGACAGCATCAACAATATAATTGTATGCCATTATTGGGGGGTTGTCCTTTTAGAGTTGCAATATACAACAAAAAAAAGGTATACTCCAGAGTTAAGTTCACCTGCCTCGAAAATGAACTTCCACGAAATGATGACAAGCTGACTGACATCTGCTGACATAAACTGTTCCACAGCTGTTTTCAGTTCAGTTCGATCTGCTGTTTACATTGGCCATATGTGAGTACTAAAAATACAATCTGATGCTCGAGACGGGAAGCTGAGGGTCATTTGGGTAATAAGTCTGGGAGCTCTTCCTAAAATAATCCATACTAGGCTTCTTGAGCATTATTCCATGTGTGCACACAAGATGTGCTTCACTGAGGGGAGACTCACCTCCATCCTGAGCGCTGAGGACGTTGAGGGCAAAGAGCATGGCGTTGGAGAAGGTGGTGGCCTCCTCCTTGCTGGCGAAGTTGAGGCCATAGACCTGCCGGGCGTCCCGCCACTGGTGGAAGGTGGGGGTGGCCTGGTTGTACTTGAGGCCCTTCACTATGGAGTAGTTTATAACCACCTGTGAGGGAGGAGGAAGAGAAGAGGTTTGAATTTATCTTAAACATGCATCCTTCTTCTTATCTGAGTGGTGATAAACATATACAGATGGCAGGCTGGTGAGATAAAATAAAACACGACACACTACAAACTATTTTTATAACTCGGATGTGTTACTGGCAGAGAGAAACCTTTAAATGGCAGAGAATTGATTTCTCGGTATCTCAAAGGATTAAATGATTTGTGTGTTTTTCCATTGTAAAGACAGAACAAACACATCCAGAACAGCTTGTAATAGTTTTTGGATTTGTAAACTGTCTCACATTTCAGGTGGCTTACATCATAAACTATAGTTCAACCCAGTTGAGAAAAATATGGTGGATTTTTTTTTTTTTGACACAGTTACATCATTTAAAAGGTTGGCATTTATTTCTCATGCATGCTGGTTGTGTGGACACTGTTTTGAAACAAAATATACAATTAACTAAGTATAATATAAGTAAATAAGTATTTATTTTAATATTATTCACTTCAGTTTTATTGAAAAATATTCTCAGTATTTGTCATTTTATAATACTCTGATGAGGAATGGTCTGGTTGTTTTAGTGATATTTTGCAATTCTATCAACATTAAATCCTTCCAACAAATCTTTTTTATTTAAAATATGTATCATATTAAGTGATATTTTGCGTAAATACACTACATGTAAAAATGTTTTACATATAGGGTAGTGACTGGAAATAAATTAAATGGCTTTTGCATAAAAATGCTGACTATGAATAGTATTTAAAAACTGATTCACTAACATAAGGTACTAATAACAGGTAACCTTTTGAGATGGTGCCATTGACATGAGACCATCTTAGCAGTAAGGTATAAGGCTCAGCTTTCATAGACAAACTACTTTTTATGAATCTCCAAAATAGCCCAAAATTGTGTATGTTGCAATCCTCCCACAGCCCGATGAAATCTCTCTCTCTGGCGTTACCTGTTGGTCCTGCAGTTTGACGCCCACCACTCTGAAGGTGTTGTTGGCAGTGTTGTGGTAGATGTTGATGCGGCTGAATCCCTGCTGTCCAGGCTTGATGGGCACCCACTTCTTACTGGTGTCATCATAGACCATGACGGAGGCCCGCGCCTGGCAGATACTCTGCTCACTGCAAAGAAAGATAAGGAGAGAAATTAGGGTGAAAGTTAATTACAAAAATAATTCATCAGTTCAACTGTTAACCAAAGTCCATTAAGCACCTGCGGCTAGTTACTGACTTTTATTTAATTAACCTGCCCCCACAAAAAGTGTGTATTTAGTACCTTTGTATTGTACATGTAGGTGGAGAATGTATCAGTGACATCACTTGTGGCTGTAACACTGTCATTTTAAATCAGTGTTTGGTAAAATGTTCACTCCTTCTAACACATGTATGACGAGGGAGTCCCAAACAAAGATCAAGTGCTGGGGGTTTTAAAGCAAGTGCTGGGGTCACCAATCACAAAGATAGGGAACCACTGCTTCAGACCAAGTCTTTATCAAATGCTGCCTTTTTAGTCCAATTATAGCTATAATCCAGCATGTAGTAACTCCCTAGTTTCTGTTTTGTACATGATGTAAAAAGTACACATGTCAACAAAACAGCCCAAGGAATACTCGAGTGGTTGTTTTTTTTAACAATGTCCTTAGGGTGAAATCAACCATTAACAGTAGTGACTGTCTGCTGTGTATTTGTTGATGAGGATGTAAGTGAGATCATGACAGTGAACAAGGCAACAACTCAGTCTGCTAATCCCGTGTTACACTAATAGTCTAATCCAAATGTAATCAAGTGCTTGCCCAGCATCTGTTGATGTTCTTAATGAGAGGCAATAGAGGTGTGTGTGTGTGTGTGTGTGTGTGTGTGTGTGTGTGTGTGTGTGTGTGTGTGTGTGTGTGTGTGTGTGTGTGTGTGTGTGTGTGTGTGTGTGTGTGTGTGTGTGTGTGTGTGTGTGTGTGCGTGGCCTCGAGTGTTGGGTCTGGTTGCTCTCCATCTGACCGTGTTTATCACAGCCCACTGAGGCTCACACTATCTTCCTCCCTCCACTTCCTTGTAACACACACATGCACACATGAACACGCAAGCACACACTAGTATACTGTAGTAAGGGAGCAGGTTTCATGACCTTCTCCATGTGTTTTTTTACAATGCATGCCAGATAAAAGGCATATGCTGAATGTCTACAGAGTGGAGAGGAAAGGGGAGATCAAGGCAGAAGCATGAGAAGGAGAAACACAGCAGAGGAACAGAGAAAAAAAATCTGACTTGCAAATGAAATTAACAAGAAGAGTCCCATCTGTGTCTTTGCCTCTTTGCCAAGCTAAAATTAGTGGATCAACCCCTGAGGCAGAGTGAAAGAGCTGCGTCAGAGAAGAGGAGAGAACATGGAGAAAGAGGAAAAAGTATTGTAGAGAAGTGTATGAATGCAGCATAAAGTGCAGTGTAAGACAGCTAGTGCATCATACGTGGTTATGAGGATGATGTTTGAAGGTAGAAGGAATACTTTGACATTTGGGGGAAATATGTTCATTTACCTTTTTGCAGACAGATTGATACCCTAATGAATCTACGTTAAGTACAGAACTGGGGTCTGGCCAAAGTTAGCTTAACATAACTACTGCCTCTGTCCTAAGTCAAACAATATGCATTGCATACCAGTAATTATATAATCAAAATATGGTTCCAGCACATAAAACCAAAACAATAGTGCTAATTAGGAAGTGTTAGCATGCTCACACGCTAAATGAAGTTGTTAAACATGATTAACATTCTAACTGTTAAACATCAATATGTTAGCGTTTTCATTTTGAGCATGTTCATTTGCTGATGACACCTTAAACGTCACTTAGCTGCTAGCATAACATGAATATTGTTACATTTTTCTCAGACAGATTAGACAAACATGTACAACATTTTAATTAGTGAGCACTATAGGCAACACTGGGCTGTTATGTACTGACTCCAAGCTAGCTCTTGACCTAGCTTACAATCTATCCGTTGAATACAAATTCTGAAAGCAGAAAAAAAAGCCAGTATAGTTCTGTCGAAACATTAAAAAGGTTTGCCCAAAACTTTGTCCTGGCCAGCCAGAAGCAGGAACTTGCCCAGAATTATACATCAATCAATTATGCAAATCCTGTCTTTCTCTAGCTGATTCAACAGACAAACATTTGAGAGTGGTTCTGCTCTCCTCATCTTAAGCCAATCAGAGTAAGCCAATGTTAAACTATTTTCGTAAGAAGGAGTTAGATTTTTATAATCTGATGTTTTTAATTTGTGTCATCCCAATGTGGAATTAATGACAAAATTATTACTTTAGACTTCCTCGGTAGCATCCCTCAATTAAAGCTTTAGAATAAGTTACGCTCTTTGCAAGCGTTGTGCCTAAATTAACATAGAATCGAATAAAAACACTTTTATCCTTTGTTAAGATATGTATTCATGAAAAGAAAGTACTAGACCAACATTAGGATAAAGAAAATAATACTCGCTGTCCTTCTCTTTCACTTCAAGGCATACTAAAACGATAGCAGTAGAAAGCAGATGAAACGTATAGTAACAGAGTCTATTCAAAACACATAACAAAAGGAGAAAGAGCTCCATAATACCCTGCTTCATGCATTTTAAGATAGAGTTATAAATAACTCTCTACCGGGTTATAGTGCACTTGAAATCCACCCGAGCACAAGCAGGGCAACGATGTGTTTAGTTTATTTTCTTTAACTTGTCATCTCCTTTAATTTTTAAAAAGGAGTTCTTGGCAACTTGCTGAAAAAGGCATCGGAGGCCCAGGAGCATGAATAAATGAGGTTCTTGTGCTAAAAGAGATCTGAGCAGTAAAAATGGAGGAGACACAGAGAAGGAGATGGAGTGGTGAGGAGGGAAGAGAAAAAGACTGAGAGAGAGAGGATGAAGGAGCTGAGGCGACAAGAAAACAAGTCTTTTGACTGACAGTTATGGGACGCATTCACATACACATAGAAACCCACACAGAAACATAGTGTTGATCGCTCCACGTCACAACCGTTGAAAAATTAACAATTGCTGCGCAGGGCATAAATAAATCAGATGGTTCTGAATGTACCTTGACAGCGACACACACACACATCTACGAACACACACAGACACACACTCTAAATGCCACCCTCCATGGCCTGTTCATGTTGGCGCTACAGCAAATTCGAGCTGACAGGGACAGACAGAGAAATCTCAGAGAGCTGCTCAGGAATCGTCTCCAAAAGAAATGGTCAAATCACAGAGCGGGAAGTAAAAATAAAAGGTTCTCGTAGAGTGCTTATAAAAAAATCTATTTTGAATGAAGAAAAATGTCATCTTTTTTCTTTACAAGGAAAGTGTTACAATGAAATACAGCTTCAATATCTAATTTTCTTTCTGAATCACTTCTGAATTAACGTCGCAACATAACCTTGAAAATGCAAACAGAGATGACTGCAACACAAACACTGAGAGAAATGCATGATAAAATGATGGCTGCAGCACATGCATAACGTCCAACCCTTTAAACAAGCATCCCAGAGTTCTCTGAGCACTCTGATTTGTAGCTTGAATTACACTAACACTAAATATTAATATTAAAACATCATGTTATGTTTTGCATTGCCTTCTCAGGATCAAACCCTTTAAGTTAATAGGTCAATGTGTCCGTCTAGGGTCACATTAATGAGGGTCTGTAATGATAAACACATGAATTATGCATTCATACTGCTGCATGTTTGCGGGGTGAAATGAATAATTATGGCTCAAATGCACCCCATTTTTCTTTTTCATCTGCCTCTTTAAAAACATACACACAAACACACACACACAGTAAACACACAGCAGCCCCATTAAGCTGTTCTCCTTTGAGTCTCAGGTCATTGCAGGGTTAATGGGATGCCTGTTTTGCCCAAACTCCCACCATCCACCATCCCTGTTTTTTCACCTTTTTTCCACATCTCCCTAAAGTCTGCGGTACACAGGTCAAATGAAAGCATTTCACAAGTGATTAGCAATTCCTTCATCACTGATGAGGAGTCTGCTCACAGACGCACCTGGAGCTGTCACCGCTTCATAACGTCAAAGCGTTTCGTTCCCCTCTCTATTTCTGGTGCCACACTTCCTGTCTGCCTAAAATAAATGTACTCTGCTACAGCGTCGCTCCTCTGATACAAGATGAACAGCACAACCATGGGCTGTCAGAGGAGAGGGATACGCTTTTGACTCAGAGGAAACACGCTGATCTAGAATTACCGCCTCACAGATGTATGCCCCAAACAAGAGAAGTTGCAGATAACATTCATGTCTGTAGAAAATGTCATCTCTTTTTGTCTGTGTACACTTGTCATAAATAGAATAAGACTTATTGACTTATGGCACTAAAATCCAATTAGCTCATTCTTCAGTCCAATTAGATGTTAGTGGACATTTTTTTTAAAGAAACTTCCTTAAGGCGTCACAAGGAAGTTACCGATGGATTTATCGAAAACGGGAAACAGGCATTATTAAAGCAGATGCTATTTGCACCCAGCTGACTATAGTGAACCATACTATTTGCACCCGGGTTACTATAGTGAACCATGCCATTTGCACTTGTGTTACTATAGTAAACCATGATATTTGAACCCGGGGCAGGGCAAAGGGTTGTGAAATATGGTTGGAAATATACACAAGAAATACCCTCAAGTATGAAACTTAATTAGCACTTTTAAAGTCTCTTCTGCTGATGAATTGCCAAAGAAGTAGGCACAATTTCAAATTGAGTTTCTGGACAGTTTTCATTCACAAATTGAATGAAAACTAGCCAGAGGGCAAGTCAGTTAGCAAGAAACCAAGCTCTGAGTCAGTTCAAAGCCTTTGGTTGTAAAATAATGCAGAAAACTGTATTACTGTCACTCCGTTCTCTTATTTGTGCTACTGTCTGTGTGAACTCCTGTCAGAGTGTGTGTGTAGCTGTGAGTGTTTGCACGCATCATTCCTGTTCTTGTCTGTAACACTAATCTGTGCTGTCAGAGGGCCGCTTGTATGCGACTCTCCGTCCACACAGCAGCTCTTACACCACCCTGCAGACATCACAACATCAAAGCTATTGTGCTGCTCCACTTTCTGGGGCCTCTGCGTTCAAGGCAGCG